GGGGCAGCGGTGGGAGGAGGGAGAAGAGGAGGCGGAGGGGGAGGAGGGGGAGGGGGGAAGAGCTGTCTGTCGAGGGCCACGAGCTGGCGGAGGAAGGCGGTGTTGGGGGCGGCGTGGGGGTGGGCGGAATGTAGCACCACCCATGCCTCCGCCAGGGGCATGCGCCTGGGGGGAAAGGACAGGGGGGAGTGGGGAACGAGGGGCGGGGGGAGGAGGCAAGGGGCGCAGGGGGGGGGGGCACAGAGGAAGAAGAGTTAGGGAAAAGAGATGGTAAGGGGAAAGGAAGAGGGAAAATGGGAAAGGGAGGCGCAGGAGGGTGGGGGGGGGAAGAGCTGTCTGTCGAGGGCCACGAGTTGGCGGAGGAAGGCGGTGTTGGGGGCGGCGTGGGGGTGGGCGGAGTGCAGCACCACCCATGCCTCCGCCAGGGGCATGCGCCTGGGTTGACTTTTGAGTCGACTCAAAAGTCAACTGGGCATGCGCCTGGGGGAATGGAGAAAGAAGGCAGGGGGGAGGGGGGCACGGGAGCAGGGGGGTTGAGTGAAAAGCTTTTGGTCAAGAGGACCAGCGGGCGGAGGAAGGCGGTGTTGGGGGGGCACATGGGGGTGGGCCGAGCCGCGGAGTGCAGCACCACCACCCATGCGGTGCCAGGGGCATGCGCCTGGGGGAATGAGGACAGGGAAGAGGGGATCGGGGCAGGTGGAGGGGTTCAGGGGACACGGATGGGCTGCGGCCGTCGTAGCACAAGGGGGCACTCTCATATCCTGGTCGCCGTACCTCTGAATGCTTCTAACCCTCCGTGCCATACGCACGAACATACCTCTTGGTCATGAGGTAAGCGAGCACGATCGAGACGGATCGGCTGCGGCCCTCATAGCAGTGCACCAGCTCATCACACGGACACGCCAGCAGATGCTTCTTCACCACCGCACGCACCTTTTGGTCATGAGGTAAGCCAGCACGATGGACACGGATCGGCTGCGGCCCTCATGGCAGTGCACCAGCACCCCCTCTTGAGTGCCTGGTTGACTGGTTAACTTATTGCCGTACCTTTGCATCATACCTCTTGGTCATGAGGTAAGCCAGCACGATGGACATGGATCGGCTGCCACCCTCATAGCAGTGCAGCAGCACCCCCTCGTCTGTGCCTGCAGATCACCGTACCTCTGAATGCGTCTTTACCACCATATTCTTTGTACCATACCTCCTGATCATCAGATACGTCAGCACCGTACCTCTTGGCCATGAGGTAAGCCAGCACTATCGAGACGGATCGGCTGCGGCCCTCATAGCAGTGCACCAGCACCCCCTCGCCCTTGCTGATGGCAGCTTCCAGGAAGCTGCTCGTTGTGTCGATGTACTTGCTCAGATCCTCCCGGTCCGAGTCGCACATCTGATGGGGTCAGGGCAGGGAGGTGAGGAGGGCGAGGAGGGCGAGGAGGGCGAGGAGGGCGAGGAGGGGACGAGGAGGGGACGAGTTTTGAGTCGACTCAAAAGTCGAGGCATCTGATGCCAGAGCAGAGGGATTACAGTGAGGGGAAAAGGGTGAGGAGGGCGAGGAGGGGACGAGTTTTGAGTCGACTCAAAAGTCGAGGCATCTGATGCCAGAGCAGAGGGATTACAGTGAGGGGAAAAGGGTGAGGAGGGCGAGGAGGGGACGAGTTTTGAGTCGACTCAAAAGTCGAGGCATCTGATGCCAGAGCAGAGGGATTACAGTGGAAAAGGGCGAGGAGGGCGAGGAGGGGAGCACACTTTGAGACATGCCGAGAGGGGCAAGAAGGGATGTTTGGAAACACAAGTTCTAGGGACTGGCAGAAACGCACAAGAGGGGGAGAGGACGGAGAGAAAGAGAGAAAGGGGTGGAGCACAAAGGAGAAAAGGGGGCGAGAGGAGAGAGAAAAGAGAGGTTCCTAGGGGGAAGGAGACGAAGCGACACGGGCAATAAATTCACTGATCCCCCTTTTCTTTCCCCTCCCTTCCTTCCCCTTCCCTAGCCCCCAGGGCAATCTCCACATACTGGCAGAACGAGGTAGTTGAAGAGGGGGGACTGTTCCGCATCAGGGTCTAACAGGTCAGTGGGGCAGAGCGTGACCACGTGCCGCACGCCCAGGTGGTGCAGCAGAGGGAAGGAGCGCGCAGCAATGGCGGAGCCCAGGTAGAGGTGCGGGAGGACGAGCGAGGGGCGCTCAGTGGCCATTGAGTCCTGCACCAGGCCCCAGCGCTCTAAGAGATGATGTAGGCGAACCTGCGGGAGGGAGGGGTGTTGAAGGGGAACCAGGGAGGACACCACTTAGGAAGCGGGAGACGTGAGGGAAGGAGCGAGCAGCAATGGCGGAGCCCAGGTAGAGGTGCGGGAGGACGAGCGAGGGGCGTTCAGTGGCCATTGAGTCCTGCAACAGGCCCCACCGCTCTAAGAGATGGTGTAGGCGAACCTGCGGAGAGGGAGGGGTGGAAGGGAAATAGGGAGGGCACCACTTAGGATAGGTGGGAGGGAGAGGAGCGAGAGGAGCAGCGGTGGGTTCATGAATGGGAGGACATGCCCAGGTGGAGCAGCAGAGGGAGCAGGCAGCAATGGCGGACTCCGTCACAAACGACACCTCAACTTGAAGAGGCGGAGCGAAATTCCTATGCGTTCACCGAAACTCCCCCACAAGTGGAAAACAAACCAGCACTCGCCTTGGGCTCATACACGCGTCAACCGGGCTGTGCGCCCCACCCCCCCCCCTCACACTCGCCTCCGTGAACTCTGTCGTCACAAATGGCACCTCACACGAGCTGCAAGCCATAATAACGTCTCGCCTCGAGCTACAATTCATAAGCATCCACCAGGCTGTGCGCCCCGCCCCCACCCCACTCGCCTCCAGGAACCCTGTCGTCACAAACGGCACCTCACACAAGCATACAAGCCAGGCTCACACCGTACACCCTTGTACATGCAACCCATAACCTCTCACCTTGAGCTCATAAGCGTCCACCAGGCTGTGCGCCCCGCCCCCTCCACTCGCCTCCATGAACCCACGAAGGAAAATATTCTCTTCAGAACGACCTTATGTGGAAAACAACGCACTCACCTTGAGCACATATGCGTCAACCAGGCTGCGTGCCACAAACAGCTCCCCATGCGAGCATACAAGCCAAGCTCCTACAAGCTACCCTCAAATTCAGCTCATACGCATCAGCCAAACCGTGTGCCCCGCCGCCCGCCCCACTCGCCTCCATGAACCCCGTCACAAACGGCACGTCACATGAGCATACAAGCCAAAAATGCACCACCACACTCATATAGGTGTAACAAGCCACTCCCTCTCACCTTCAACTCATATGCATCCACCAGGCTGTGTGCCCCGCCTCCCCCACTCGCCTCCATGAACCCCGTCACAAACGGCACTGCAGCCGCCTTGCAAATCCGCCCCGCCTCCTCCCGCATCATGCCATCCCACCGCTGCACCTGCTCCTCCTGCTCCTCGTCCCCCTGCGCTGACTTCCTCACTCCACAGATCTCCATACCAGACATGCAAACCCCTTGACCCACAAAACCCTCGCCCTGCAAACCCACTACTCACCTTGAGTTCATACGCGTCAACGAGGCTGTGTGCCCCGCCCCCTCCACTCGCCTCCATAAACCCCGTCACAAACGGCACTGCAGCCGCCTTGCATATCCGCCCCGCCTCCTCCCGCATCATCCCGTCCCACCGCTGCACCTGCTCCCTCAGCTCCTCGTCCCCCTGCGCTGACTTCCTCACTCCGCGAATCTTCATGCTCAGCCGCGAGGGTAAACCACCCAGAGACGCCCTCCAGGCAGCGGCTTTGGCTGCGGATTTGCTGATGGAGGCGGGTGCGTGACGGGGGTTAGCGGGGGTTTTGTGGGGAGGACGGGGTTTTGTGGGATGGGGTTTTTTGGGAGGGGGTTTGGATCGTGGAGGGGGTTTTGAGGGTGGAGGAGGAGGTTTTGTGGGAGGGGCGAGAGGTGGGGCTGCGGATGGGGAGACGGGTGCGGTTGGCTGGGGGAGTGTGCATGCTGCTGGTGCTAGTGTCACGAGCAGTATCAGTGGCAGTATCAGTGGCAGTGTCAGTGGCAATATCAGTGGAAGGAACAGGTGCGGGATCAGCAAGAGTGGTAGTGGTGGCGGTGTCAGTAGCACTGTTCGTGGCAGTGGTGGTGGTGGTGGTCAGAGGAAGGTGTGGTTGCTTCTGCCGATGGTGGGTAGGGCGGATAATGGGCGAGGGGCGGGTGGAGGGAGGGGAGGAGAAGGCGGAGGAGAGGGACATGGGGGAGGTGGCACGGGTGGGTGGCGAGCTGGCAGCGCTGACAGCAGCGCTAGTGGGAGCAGTGGTAACAACAGGAACCGCAGCAGCACCAGCGGCAGCAGCAGCAGGGGGACCTGCATCTGAAGAGCTTGCATCTCCTTGTGTCGATGCTTCAGCTGTGGCCTTCCCAGCAGGTTCCCCAGCTGCTTCTCCAGCTGCAGATGCCGCTGCTGCTGCTTGTCGGTCTGCCTCGTCGGTTGCTGCGGTCTTCTCACAGATTCTACTAAGGAAGGGCGAGCGGGCGCTAGTGAGGGAAGGAGATCGGGGAGCAAAGCGAGCAGGGGAGCGCACGAGGCGGGGCGAGAGGGCAGCACCAGCAGATGATCGGCGGTATGGGCCAGGGGAGCGTGGGGGAGCAGGCGAGCGGGGAGGAATGGGTGAGCGGGGAGGAGCAGGGGAGCGAGGGGGGATTGGAGAGCGAGGAGGGATAGGGGAGCGGGGAGGAGCGGGAGAGCAGGGAGGGGCGGGGGAGGCGGGGGCAGAGAGAGCAGGGGAAGGGGGAGGGGCACGGGGGCGCCGAGAGAGAACAGTGCGACGACCACCAGCACTGACACTGCCACCAACACCACTACCGCCGCCACCACCACCACCGCCATCACCACCACCATCACCACCACCATTGCCCTCTGCAGCCGAATCAGCATCAATATCAGCAGCAGCAGCAACAGCGTCAGCAGCATCAGCATCAGTAGGAGAGCAGTCAGTGCGAGAGGCGTAGCCATACGCAGGCCCAGCAGCAGAGGGAGGCATGACTGGGGGAGGTGATATCCGCCTCATCACATGCTGAGAGTACGACTCCTCGCTAGGAGAGGGAGGAAAGGAGGAGGAAGGGTGGGAGTTGACAGCACTCAAGAACCTCTCGCAACGGGGAAACCTGTTAGAGGGAGGAGTTGAGGGTGACGCTTTAGAAGGTGATTCGTTAGAAGGTGACCCGTTACAGGGTGACCCCTTACAGGGAGAGGTTTCAGCAGACGGGGGCGCTCGAGGGGAAAGAGGGGCCGCCTGGGGGGAGGAGTTGAGGGAAGACTCGAAGTCCCTGGGGGTGTGGGGCGACCACAGGGCGGTACTATGTGAGCCGGCAGTGCGAGGGGAGGGTGTTACTGGGGAAGGTAGATCTGGGGCAGGTGCATTGAAAGCCTCTTCCAGCGGATCTTCTGCTGCTGAATTGGCAAGGGGGCGGAGGGAGGGCAGATATAGGGTCCTGCTGGCGTCAGCAGGTGCTATGGATGAGTCATCGTGGGAGAATGATGATGTCGGAATGGATGATGACGTGGAAGGCGATGGTGATGACGTGGTTCTTCTGACTATTGCAGTGGTGGCGGAAGGAGGAACAGAGTCAGGGGAAATGGGGTCTTCCGCTTCAGGAACAGGAGATAGGACAGGAGGAGGAAGTGGCAAATGAGATGAAGGGGCTGTGGAAGTGAAGGAGAGAGGCGGAGGAAACAGTCCAGTGCCTTGGCCTGCAGATGTCTCCTCAGCAACATCTGTAATCCTTTGTGCTGCTGTTATAATCTCTGGCTCTTTGGCAGCACCACCTCCAATGCTGCCACAGCCGCCACCACTGCCATCACCACTGCCTGTAACCCCATCATCACCACTAGCACCACTGCTGCCATCCCTCTTGCTGTCGTTCTCCCGCTCCCCACCAACACTTCCAAAGTCCAACCTACTCGCAGCCATGTGCGCAGTGCGGCACGAGATAGACGGCGAGGATCGTCTCGTAGCAGGTCCTCGCCGCCCAGAACAGCTGTCACCACCACACTTCAAGTCGGAACCAGCACCACCGCCAATCCTGCTGTCGCTGGAGTCACCAATCCCACCGAAACCACCACTATTACCGCCATCGCATCCCTTGTTGACTCCTTGCCTTTGGGCGGATAAAGGTGAGAGAATGTGAGATCCCTTTCGGAAAGGAAATGGGGTCGTTGTGTTCATATCAACCAACGCCAACCCTCCTCCTCCTACCCCTCCTCCCGCTACTCCTCCTCCTCCTCCCTCCACTCCCCTCCCTCCGCGCTCTACCACCCTTCCCTCTCCTCCCACCACCCTCTCCTGCTTCCCACTGTCACTGTCTCTCCTACCCCCATATCCCATCCGGCCCTCACTCTCCCCACTCTCCCAGCCTCCAGCAGCCGCCTCAAACTCCCCACTTCGCACACGCTCTCCCAATCGCCCGCTCTCCCCATTCTCCCCACCTCTCCTGCCCTCCCGGCCTCGTCCGCCCTCCCCTGGCGCGTCGAGTGCGGGCACGGAGGTGACGAACGCGAGGAAGGCGCGGAGCATGTCGTCCAGCCGCGAGTGCAGCGCTGCCAGCGTGCGCTGCACGCGCCCCATCTCCTCCACCGCCTCCCTGAACCCCTGCTGGAACGCACGCGTTTCTGGGGACACGATGGGGTGTGCTGCTGCTGCCAGTGCCAAGTCGGAGGGCTGAAAGGTCATGCTGCTGCTGCTCCTATTGCTGCTAGTTTTAGTGATGATTTTGGCACCAGGTTTGGTGGCGGCGGTAGCAGTGGTTGCGGTAAAGGTGGTAGTGGCAGTGATGCTGGTTGTAACAGCAACAGCAGCGCAGGAGGTACTGGTGCTGTTCGGGGATGCAGGGTCGGAACAAGCAAAGCTTTCTATAGCCGCTCCAGCTTCAGTAAGCGCAGGGAGGGACTGCGATTGACTGTGAACAGGCTGCATGCAAGCATCTGTAGCAGGGGCAACAGCACCGGTACCACCTGTAGAAGCAGCCGTAGCAGCAGCAGCAGCAGCAACGCCTGTGGCAGCAGCTGTAGCAGAAGCGACTGCACCAGCACCAGTTCCAGAAGCACCAGACGAGGAGGACGAGAAGGAGGAGCAGGACGAGCCAAACGAGGACGACTCTCTAGCGAGGATGAGAACGACGACGATCCTGGCAGTAGCAGGTAACCGCCAGTATCAGCTGCTACTGGCGGGAGCACAGAGCACCTCGCACCCACCTCATCACCCAGAGAACCCAACACATGCAGCTTGTCCCGCTCGCCCAGAATGCTCAGCTTATCCTGCTTCTGCTGCTCACCCAGAGCACCAAAGGAGGCGTGGAAGAGGGTGTGGGCAGCAAAGCAGGGGTCATGCAGCAGCAGCTGCACGAGGCGTGGAATGGCCTCCCTGTCCTGCTCTGCCAGCCCGGGCGGCACGCGGCGGCAGATGGACGAATCAATCACCACTACCTCCTGCCGCACACGCACGTGCTCTACCTCCTGTCCTGCTGGCAGCTGAGTTACCTGATTCCCCTGCTCCTCCTGATTTTTGTCACTATCGCATCCTCCCCCTCCCCCATCGGCTCTTCCCCTTCCCCTTCCTCGCCCCCTCCCCCTCCCCCTCCCCCTCCCCCTCCCCCTCCCCCTTCCTCCTCCACCTCCTCTTCCTCCACCCTCCCTGCCTCCACTCCCTCTTCTGTGGCCAGACCGACCACCCAATCCCCCCTCCTTCGCACTCTCCTTCCGCTCCCACGCTTGCAATAACGGTCGGTTGGAACATAAGATGTTACCGCGGTTACCCCTCCACCCCAATTCCGGGCAGGGTAACCGGTCGTCGTTCCTCAACATGATATCCAGCAGCAGCACATGGCCCAAAGAGTGCGCGGTCTTTTCCCGGGCAGATTGGTCAGGGAAAAGCTCGTTCCGGGGACAAGAAACGAAAGATTGCCCTTTTACATGCCTGCACGAATGGGCACAGGATAGACAGGCGCATGAGAAAATTGAGCTGGCGGGGTGCTATGGGCAACGAACCTTGAGACGTTTCAAAACACAAGAGGGGAGGGAGACCGACAAGAATCAACGCTGAGAAAAAACAAATTCAAACAATCCGAGTGACAGAACAATTAACACAACAGCAGGGAACCGGTTTCCTCCACTCGATTTATCAGCGGAAAGAAATTAGCGTGCTGCTGATACTCACCCCATGAACAAGAAGCACCGGCTCAGCTGCAGGGCTTCCAGAAACTCCTCCACCACACTCGCCTCCTCCTTCCCTCCACTCTCCTTCCTTTCCACCACACTCCCTCCCTCCTCCGCTCCACCATCCCTCCCGTCCACCTCCTTCCCTCTCCCGCTCCTACCCCCTTCCCCTCTCGCCTCCACCTCTCTCTCCCTCAGTCGTTCCACAGCCAGAACCACCTCCTCCCACTCCTGACTCTGCTTCACAGCAAGCTCATGCGCCGACAAACAAGGATCATGGCCCCGACCACAAACGTCCACCTGGCCGGGGAACCCCTGCTGCTGGTTTTCTTTACCCATTGTGAAACGGTCATCGTTGGTAGCACCAGAACCACCCAGAGATGCCATACTGCAAGTTCCAGCTACTGTCGCCCTTCTCCTACCCGTAATGCCGGTGTTGCTGCTGCTGTTGGTGTTAGTGGCACTGCGTAGCACGGGGCTGCTGTGGGTGCTGCTTCTGCCGTGATTCCCCCGGTGCACCACGCGTACCTGCGGCGTGGCAATGCCCAGGTGCATGGCCAGCTCTGCTCCGAATCGCTCTGACTGCACCACAATGCGCGACCCCGCGAATTTGATGCACGCTGCTGCCAGTTGTGGCTGGTGTTCTACCCCTTGTCCTTCACGTCCTAACCATTCCTTCCCAGCCTTTTCCACTCCCCTGTTATCTTCGCTTTGGAGTGTGTCTTGAGGCGGAATTTGCGCCCTCAGTTTTTCCTGAATCGCCCCATTCCTGCCTTCCTCCTCTGTTTCTTTGTGCTCAAAATCACCCCGTTGGGGTCCAGCATCGTGCATCTTCTGTTGGAACAGTGCAAAGTACACAATCCCGCCAGAGTTGACGGTCACCTGGGGCACGAGGAGGACAGAAAGAACGGAGAAGCGAAGGAGTGGACACAGAGGGATCAAGGAGCAAGGCAGCTTAGGTCAGAAGTCACCATGGAGAGACGAGACGGGAATGAAGTAGAAATATCAGCAGTTCAGGAGAAAGGGCCTGCAGGACGCCTGAAGAACACCTGAAGGACACACCACAGATAGACAACCGTGGGTGCGTTTGGATGCCTTACCTCCACACTACCGCTCTTTTCCATCACAGGTGCGTCAGAAAACCCCTCTCCTCCTCCCCCACCTCCCCCTCCTCCTCCACCTGCGACAGCAGAACTACCCTCCCCTCCCAATTCTGTGCGGTACAGGGCCACCAGATCCGACCAATCGAACCGCCCCACGCGTACGTCCAGCTCAGTAGCCCGCGCCAGCTGCTGCTTCCAGTCCCCTAACTTGTACCCGTGCCACGAGTCTTGGCGCTCGCTCCGAGCCTCTGAATGCTCGTGCTGCGTCTTGCTTCGCCCAGCCTCGCAGCTTCCCCACCCAGCTTCGTCAGACTTGTTCCGGACCTCATCATTCTCTAGTTGGGGGTCATAAGAACCACGCTGAGGTGCCTTACCATCAGTAGCATCGCTTGCAGCAGCAGCGGTAGCAGCAGCAGCAACAACAACAGGATGCCCCAGCTGTCCCACTAATTCCGCCTCAGAAGTAGCAGCAGAAGCAGCACTAGAAGGAGCAGCAGCAGGAGGAGGAGGAGCAAAAGCAGGTGCAGGAACAGGAGGAACTGGAGGGAAAGGAGCAGCAGCAGCAGGTGCGGCCCCGCTAGCAGCAGCAGCAGCAGGTAGGGAGACAATAAGAGCATCACCCGCACCACCAGATGTACCCCCTTCCACCTCCTCCCCCTTCCCTAGGACACGACAACCGTCAGATTGATGCTCCTCTACCTCACTACCACTCTCTCCATTGGGGCGGCTCCTTGTCTGCTTCTGCGCCTTCCCCTCCTCCTCCTCTGTCAAACCTCCTCCGTCGTCCTCCCTCAAGCCTTCCCCACTATCCTTCCCTGTACTCGCACCACCTTCCCCAGCCAGTCCACCTGGCACCACCCTATTGGCTAGCCCTGGCTTCTTGCTCCAATCCATTCCACTCTCTTTACTGTAACAGTCCCACGTAGTCACACCGTCAGCCATAGGCCACGAGGCTCGCACTATAGGGCCATCCTCTGCTGCTGCTACAGCTGCTGCAGCAGCTGCTGCTGCGGCTGCCATAGTCGGTCGGCTGAAACGGGAGGCAGAGCTGAGGCCAGGAGGGGAGGCTCCACCTGGGGTCGGTTGTAGCATTTCTCCACCACCACCCGTCCCCACACCAGCATCACCATCACCACCCGACCCCTTATCATCACCACTACCATCATTACTATCACCATTCGTCCCCTCACTACAGTTCTCGCCATCACCTGCTTTAAGTCCTTTCGTCTTCACCCCTCTACTCCCCAATCTATCGCGTTCCTCAACCTCTCCACCACAAGCAGTCGCTGCCTCCTCTCTCTCACACACACTCTCCTCCTCCCTCTCACAAACATTCTCCTCCTCCTCCTCCAGCCGTCCAGAAAGCTGAAACTCCGGAAGCAGGATAGCCAAGGCACCGTTACAGGAACACCCGAAGCCAGAGCCATGTGACTGCGGGCAGGGGAACGGATGCAGTTCTGACTTGCTCGTCTCGCTGATGCTGTGACTGCGACGAATGCCAGCAAGGGGAGGAGAGAGCGAGTCGCTCTCAGCGCCTTTCGTTATAAGATCGAGTTGGGAGGCGGAGGAGGTGGTTGGAGAGATGGGAGAGACAAGGTAGCCCATGCGATTGGCTGAAATGGACGGTTTGGGAAGGGAAGTCAGCCAACGCAAAGGATGGGGAAGGATGAGGCTTTGTGATGGACCGGAGAATGGCGAAGAGCGAGGTTTGATAAATGAAGTGGTGAGTGGACACTAGGAGTTAGGAAAGAATAAAGTGTCGAGCCCTGTTAGCTTCGTCAGACGTGTAGAAGGTACATGAGGATCGTGAAAGGAGAATCAGGTTAGAAATGCAATGCATGTGAAGATCCTATCACAAATAAACACAAGTAATGGAGAAACTAACCATAGAAAAATCAAATCCCACCTCTCTGCCTTGCGCGCCAAGCTGCTCGCTTGCTCAAAAGCCACGGCTGGATGTCCCCCACCAATGACCGCCGGCCACGCGTCCGTGACAGAAACGCAAATGACTGCCAGGAGCGAAGGCAGGATCAGTGAGAAATGATAAGGCTAGGTTCTTGGCACGTTCTTTGCCCTCAAGCAATATTAAGTATTCCACTTTATCACAACGAGAACGAAAACTACTACGCGTTTGGCTAACGAGAACGACGAGGGGATGCCATTCGCATACGGACCCTGTGCGAAAGAAGCACGGTCGACGACACGTCCTCGTGCTGCAGCGCGTCTTCTAACGCGGACGAGAACTCGGGGTCTGTCTCGTTGCCTTGCTCCGGGTCTTGCTCTTGATCAGTATCCGTCTCCCCCGGTTCTTGACCGTCGAGCTCTTCATCTTGAATGGCTTCTTGTCCTTCATTCTGACCATTCGTATCATTCATATTATTCTGATCCGTCAGATCGTTCTGATCGTTCGGATCATTCTCATTGATCCGATTATCGTGATCTCCAGGAACCGAATCTTTATCGTCCACCTCATCGGCCTCGTCGACCTGATTCGTTCTACGCTGCTCTGCACGAAGATCCGACCTCTGACCATGTTTGACTGACGGGATGTGATAACTTGGGAACCTATTGCTGAGAGAATAAGCGTCCTGATCTTCTACGTTTTATCTCTGATCGACAACTCCACAACTGAAGTCTAATCGCCTCTCTACCGCATCATGAATCTCATCGTGATCGTCCATTTTATGAACAGCTCAAGAAATGTAGTTCCCTGTTCGACTGTACAAACGCGTGAAAATATCACACAGAAATGTGAGAGTTAGTGTTGGAGAACCTGCGGCTGAATAACGATGTTAGTGACTTCGACAAGATGCCCAGTATAACCTATGACAACGGGAAGAACCTGGACTGAATTCGATTCACGGTCTTTGCGGAGCGGCACTACAACGCGGCATACACGAGAATCATCTATGGCCAGGGGGACTAGGGTCAACGGTACACCTGCTTCTAAACTCCAGAACATGGACGCAAAGAACAATGGTGGCCCCAGACTCTGGGTGGGTCAATGACACCAATCGAGGTGAGAGAAATGGGAAAACCGCTCGACCGAACCGAAAACAGGGATCCTCCGAACCGAGAGCGAAAATCTCGAGGGCGAGGGAGGGCAGAGGAAGAGGGAGAAGGCATGGAAGTGAAGTGGGGTAGCTGTGGGAACAGGGTGGGATGGGATGGATGGGATAAAAAGGTTTGATAAAAGGTGGGATACGTTTGTATGAGTTTGAATATGGTGCGAGATTGGGGAGATAGATGGGAAGAGGTGGGGGGAAGTGGTGTGGTGGAGGGGCTTCCATTGTGCCGTTTGGGGAACATCACAGACCCGCACCGCCCAAACCTTGCAAACCATACCAAGCAATTGGCGGGAAATCGAGCCGCGAAATGACTAGCTTGAAGCCTGTCAGGTATTCTTCAATGCAGCTAGTTCTCTACACTCGACTTGGCTTATTTTACACCAGAAAAGAAAGAGAATGGGAAAAACTTTAAAACACAAGAAACGGGGACCTCTACAGGGTGGACCTGAATCTGGCAGAGATGCCTCCCAAAAATCCTTGTAAGTTCCTGACCGTGGTCCATCATCCTACAGCTTCTTTTCGTGCGCGCCATGGCTAATGGCTGCATTACATCGCTATCCAGTCCGCTTCAGCTCCGCGGACCCGTGATTGATAGAGTCAGCTCTGTACACTGCCCTATCTCGACCAGGAAAGTCAGACATATTCCCGCTACCCAGCGTTCTCTTCCCTTATCCAGTTTCCACACTATAGTTAAGGCTGGTCAGGCGAACGAAGTTAGCAACTCCGACTTGGCACATCGCGCGATCGAGGAGATTCGCGCCGTGTTTGACAGAATCGCACACGCAGCAGCATCTGATTCCGCCAGTGCGGCCGGCGCGACTGACGATGCCGCGAAGGGTGACCCTTTTGAGACGCTAGTGAAGGAAATTGTTTCCGCAAAAGACGGAAAGATTGCTCTCTATGGAGTCGGACGGTAAGCCCTCGCTCACTCGGACTCCCTATATCTCCACTCTTCAATTAATTTCAAACCGCCTTTTTCTCATAGGCTCCTGTTTTTTACCACACATACATGAATGTGACAAAGGCTGGCACATTGACAAAGGTATCATTCCCAATCTTTCTTTTTTTCGCTCTCCCCCCTCCCTCTCCCTCCCTTTCCCCCCCCCACACCCACCTCTCTTTCTTTCCGCCGGAGCAGAAGGGTCTCATCATGCACGCCTTAGCGATGCGCCTGTACCACCTAACAGAAGCTAGCACATTGTCTAAGTATCATTCTACATCTCTCACTCTGCCCACACCCGCCTCCTCCTCCCTCCTTCCCTCCCGAACAGAGAGGGTCTCATGATGCGAGCTCTGGCCATGCGTCTGTACCACCTAGGCTTGCAGGCATCCGTCGTCGGTGACATGTCCTGCCCTCCCATTGGTCCAGGAGATCTCCTCCTTGTCAGCGCCGGCCCTGGCCGCTTTTCCACTGTAGAGGCTCTTCTGAGGGAGGCTAGATCTACAGGGGCCAGGACTGCAGTCATCACTGCACAGCCGTCGGGCGATTGTGCCAGGCTGGCAGATCGTGTGGTCTACATTCCTGCACAGACAATGGCAGATGATCTCGTTTCTGGTGAAGGAAGGGATAGGGTTGAGATTGAGGACGATGGGGTGCTACCCATGGGGAGTGTTTATGAGGGAGCGTTGTTTGTTTTGGGCGAAGTGGTAGTGCGTCTCTTGCGGGATAATCTGGGCGAAACAAAAGAGTCCATGCGTGTACGGCATACCAATTTGGAGTGAAGCTCACAACGCCTTTTCCGTCTAGGGTTTAATGAATGTAAGAGTTTCGTCGTTTACATAGTTAGACTCTACAGTCTAGTATATGTAATCGCGGTTATCCGTAACGGAGTTTGTGCGACCGCTGTGCCCGATCATGAATCCCCAAGCGCCAGAAACCTCGATATCTCCATCACCACGGGAATGAATTTCTGCGTCCCCTACGGTGCTTTGAACCATCACCCCACTTTTCACTGATTCCAGAAGCAGTATTTTACTGCGAAACACAAGTTCATGCTCAACCTCCGTCATAATCGTCCGTCGTTGCCGCTGCTTCGCGTCAAGTGGAATATTCTGCAGCGAATAAGAGCACGCGCGATTGGATACGCAGTCGATTGAAGCCACGTGGTTGTGAGCCTACGCTAACCCACGGAAAGCTACCAGGAAGCCGACTGGGCTTTCAAGTGAACGCACTTGCAGCTGATCATAAGACAAAGCAAAGTTACGCCTTTTCTGCCGATCGCGGTTAAGTGATGATTTGAATTCTTCTAGCCTTCTAGCTTGCGAAGTCGCATTGTCATTGAGCCGGATTCAGCCTGTCAGCATCAGCACCCATTCTCAATTCGTGAATTCGTGAATCTTTGTCTCCACATAGCGGACAGCAACACCAGCTGCCATGTTAGCACCAGTAACCACCCCAACGGCAGGAGCAGCAGCACCATCAGCAGATGATTCACCACAAACAGCAGCGCCATCAGCAGCAGCAACAGATGAACCATCAGCAACAGCCACACCTACCACCCCAGCATGTCCCAGTACATTTGAGACGTCTCAGAAATCCATTCCGTCAGCCACACCAGCACTGTCAGTAGATGATTCACCACGGACAGAAGCACCATCAGCAAGGGCAACAGATGAACCATCAGCAGCAGCCACCCCTACCACCCCTGCATGTCCCAGTACATTTGAGACGTCTCAGAAATCCATTCCGCCAGCCACACCAGCACTGTCAGTAGATGATTCACCACGGACAGAACCGCCATCAGCAGCAGCAACAGATGAACCATCAGCAACAGCCACCCCTACCACCCCTGCATGTCCCAGTACATTTGAGACGTCTCAGAAATCCATTAAACCAGCCACACCAGCACTGTCAGTAGATGATTCACCACGGACAGAACCGCCATCAGCAGCAGCAACAGATGAACCATCAGCGGCAGCAACAGATGAACCATCAGCGGCAGCCAAACCTACCACCCCGGCATGTCCCAGTGTCGGTCCTTTCCATGCCTATTCTCTTCGTTTCTTCTCCTCCACCTCGATTTCCGTTAGTGGAGATGCTTATAACGGGGCGTGCAGCACAGAGTGTTTTTCTGGGTTCATGTTGCTGACGTCGCCTGCCATTGGCCCGCTGGATGCTGACGTGGCACACATGGAAGTCCCCCTTTGCTCCAAGTATTTTAGCGATTGCGCTCCTCCTAGAGAGGCCGCTCATGCCCCTGCTAAAGAAGTTGCGCCTGCTGCTACAGCTCCGGAACCCGCTGGCAGCACCTCTCCTGGGGTTCCCCAACCCCCCTCAGTTGCTTCGGGATCGGTCCGCCTCTCCCCTCTTGGAGCCCTCGCTCTCCTCGCCTCAACAGGTCAGTCGCGCTCAGACCAGGCAGGTGGTTCAGGTGCTTCAGGTCGTTCAGTTGACTAAGACGCTTCAGTTCGGGTGATTCAGATGGTTCAGGTGATTCAGATGGTTTGAGGCTATTCAGATGGTTCAGGTTATTCAGATGGTTCCGGTGATTCAGAACGTTCAGGTGATTCAGATGGTTCAGGTGATTCAGAAGGTTCAAGTGATTCAGATGGTTCATGTGATTCAGATGGTTCAGGTGATTCAGGCGGTTCAGGCGATTCAGGTGGTTCAGGTGATTCAGGTGGTTCAGGCGATTCAGGTGGTTCAGCAGGTTCAGCTCATGCATGCAGGTGTCAGAGTGCGTCAGGTGCTCACACAGGCGTTGGAACACGTCAGCTCCACACCCATATGCATGCACCCCTCATTCTCCCCATTCTCCTCATTCTCCCCATTCTCCCCATTCTCCCCATTCTCCCCATTCTCCCCATTCTCTCCATTCTCCCCATTCTCCCCATTCTCTGCCTTCTCCGCCTTCTCCCCAGACTCCCCCGTCTCCCCCTTCTTCCCCCCCTCCCCGTTCCCCCGTGTCTCCCGCGTTTTCTCGAATGATCTTCAGCTGGCCAGCGCCATGTGCTACCACATGCGTCTGTTCGGCATGGCGTTGGATCGACAAGACCTCATGGACCATGCTCCCATCCTCGCCCAAGCTGCTGCTGCTGCTGCTGCTACTGAAACTGCTGCTGCTACAGCTGGTTCAGCAGCAGCTGTCATTACGACCGACGCTGTTGATGCCGCTGCTGCTGGTGAGCACACGCCCATCAGCACCGCTGTGCGCCCCTTTGGAGCCTTCTGGACCGCATCCCACTACTGCCTCGTGCTGCCCTGCTTGGTCGAAGGAGGAAAGGAAGGAAGGGAGGGAGAAAGCGAAAGAGGAGGAGGAGAAAGAGGGACAGCAGCAGACTGGCGAGGGGCAGCTGAGGGAGGGGAGGAAGGGAGCGGGGCGAATGCAGGCAGGGAAAGCGAAGGGGTGGATGCAGGGGATCGTGGGGGAGGGGATGATGGCATGGGCAGGGGAGGGGATGATGATGATATGATGCGCGTGTTGTTGGGGAGGATTGACTGGGAGACGGTGGATAGGGTGGTGTCTCTGGGAGGCCGTAGTGCCGCTTCTCATGGCTGTGCACGTGATGCTCCTGGTGCTGCTGCTGCTGCTGCTGATGGTATTGGTGCTAATGCTGCTGCTGTTGATACCAGTGCTGTTGCTGCTGTTGATACCAATGCTGTTGGTGTTGTTGATACCAATGCTGTTGCTGCTGCTGATACCAATGCTGCTGCTGCCACTGATACCAAGGCTGCTACTGCTGCTGATACCAATGCTGTTGCTGCTGATGGTGACGGTGGTGGTGGTGGTGCTACTGCTGCTACTGCTGCTGATGATTATGCTGATACCAATGCTGCTGCTGCTGCTGCTCTTCCGAACATCACCCACAATGCCCCTGGCAGCACGCCTCTGCTTGTGCCTCCTCGTAACACTGCCAGCACGCCCCTGTTCATGGCAGCTCGCGGGCCTGTGGAGTTGCATGACCTGCATGGCATGGCAGCATACGCGGATGCTGCTGTTCCAAACAACGCCCCTGTTACTGCTGCGACCACACCCCTGCTTATGCCTTCTCGTGCCACTGCCAGCACGCCCCTGCTCATGACAGCTCGCGGGCCTGTGAAGGAGCATGACCTGCATGGCATGGCAGCATACGCGGTGCATTCGCATCTGCTGTACCAGCTGGTGGGGAGGGACCCTGAAGGGAGAACAGCACGGAGTGAGTTCAAGGGGCTGCATATAGGCACGTTCCAACAGCACTTGCAGAACCAGTGAGTAACTGCATGGCATGGCAGCATATGCGGTGCATTCCCATCTGCTGTACCAGCTGCTGCTGCTCTGCTGCACACACCGTCCACACTGCCCAACCCCTACTGCACGATCACACCCTTAAACCTTACACCCCTACCCCCCTCTGCCAGGTATGGCACATCGCTGCATTACCCCGACCAACGTCTGTTTGCTGCTTGCGCCCCAGCTGAAGCCAGAGCCGCACAACGCACTGCTGCTGCTGCTGCTCTGGTCATTGCCAAGCCCTTTTACCCCTAACCTCATGCACTCCTAACCTCATGCACTCCTAACCTCATGCACTCCTAACCTCATGCACTCCTAACCTCATGCACTCCTAACCTCATGCACTCCTAACCTCATGCACTGCTAACCCTGATACGACTAACCCCCCTCACCAGGTACAACATATTGCTGCAGCACCCTGACCAGCCTCTGTTCGCTGTGTGCCAGTTGAAGCCAGAGCTGCACAACGCACTGCTGCTGCGGCAGGCACCAAAATGTAAGTGACTCTGTGTGGGTGCATGCGTGCGTGCGTGTGTGCGTGCCTGTGTGTGCACTGATCCTCTCTCCATGGTCCCTCCTCTCTCCATGGTCCCTACATGTGTATCAATGTGTGAGCCAGCCCGTTTGTCTGTGCTTGTGTGTGCCGGCAGGTCCCCCTTGCACCACCCTCCCTCCCTCCTCTCCCTTGCACCTCCCTCCCTCCCTCCTCTCCCTTCCACCACCCTCCCTCCCTCCTCTCCCTTCCACCACCCTCCCTCCCTCCTCTCCCTTCCACCACCCTCCCTCCCTCCTCTCCCTTCCACCACCCTCCCTCCCTCCTCTCCCTTCCACCACCCTCCCTCCCTCCTCTCCCTTCCACCACCCTCCCTCCCTCCTCTCCCTTCCACCACCCTCCCTCCCTCCTCTCCCTTCCACCACCCTCCCTCCCTCCTCTCCCTTCCACCACCCTCCCTCCCTCCTCTCCCTTCCACCACCCTCCCTCCCTCCTCTCCCTTCCACCACCCTCCCTCCCTCCTCTCCCTTGCACCACCCTCCCTCCCTCCTCTCCCTTCCACCACCCTCCCTCCCTCCTCTCCCTTCCACCACCCTCCCTCCCTCCTCTCCCTTCCACCACCCTCCCTCCCTCCTCTCCCTTCCACCACCCTCCCTCCCTCCTCTCCCTTCCACCACCCTCCCTCCCTCCTCTCCCTTCCACCACCCTCCCTCCCTCCTCTCCCTTCCACCTCCCTCCCTCCCTCCTCTCCCTTCCACCACCCTCCCTCCCTCCTCTCCCTTCCACCACCCTCCCTCCCTCCTCTCCCTTGCACCACCCTCCCTCCCTCCTCTCCCTTGCACCTCCCTCCCTCCCTCCTCTCCCTTCCACCACCCTCCCTCCCTCCTCTCCCTTCCACCACCCTCCCTCCCTCCTCTCCCTTCCACCACCCTCCCTCCCTCCTCTCCCTTCCACCACCCTCCCTCCCTCCTCTCCCTTCCACCACCCTCCTCCCTCCTCTCCCTTCCACCACCCTCCCTCCCTCCTCTCCCTTCCACCACCCTCCCTCCCTCCTCTCCCTTCCACCACCCTCCCTCCCTCCTCTCCCTTCCACCACCCTCCCTCCCTCCTCTCCCTTCCACCACCCTCCCTCCCTCCTCTCCCTTCCACCACCCTCCCTCCCTCCTCTCCCTTCCACCACCCTCCCTCCCTCCTCTCCCTTGCACCACCCTCCCTCCCTCCTCTCCCTTCCACCACCCTCCCTCCCTCCTCTCCCTTCCACCACCCTCCCTCCCTCCTCTCCCTTCCACCACCCTCCCTCCCTCCTCTCCCTTCCACCACCCTCCCTCCCTCCTCTCCCTTCCACCACCCTCCCTCCCTCCTCTCCCTTCCACCACCCTCCCTCCCTCCTCTCCCTTCCACCTCCCTCCCTCCCTCCTCTCCCTTCCACCACCCTCCCTCCCTCCTCTCCCTTCCACCACCCTCCCTCCCTCCTCTCCCTTCCACCACCCTCCCTCCCTCCTCTCCCTTCCACCTCCCTCCCTCCCTCCTCTCCCTTCCACCACCCTCCCTCCCTCCTCTCCCTTCCACCACCCTCCCTCCCTCCTCCCCCTTCCACCTCCCTCCCTCCCTCCTCTCCCTTCCATCACCGCCTTGGATCGCCCCCATGACATCACCCGTCCCTCAGTGAACACTTGGGATCTCGCCTACGGGCGATCGTTGGATGTTGGAAATCTAAGAACTCAATGGCGCCTAACTGGTGTCATCTTCCGCCAACAGGGCGATACAATCAGCTTTACAAATTTTGAGGCGCCTCAAAAATCGTCCCTCAGTGAACACTTGGGATCTCGCCAACAGGGCGATCCAATCAGCTTTACATCATGTCCTGAGGAGAAGTCCCACCCCCCATCACCCCATTACATCACCCCTCTCGCCGTGGAGTGGACCCTTGAGATTTTCTCAATCGGGCTGTTTAATCAAGTGGTTAGACAAGTTTAGAGGCGCAATTTGAGCGCCCTTTCCCCGCCCTCTCTCCACCCACCCCTCTCGCAGTGGACCCTTGGGATCTAATCAACAGGGCCGTCCATTCAGCTCTAAAACATTTCCTGAGAATAAAGTCTCCTTGCCCCCACCCCCCCCATCGCCCCTATTACATCGCCCCTCTCGTGGACAGTGGACCCTTGGGATCTTCTCAACAGGGCGGTCCAAGTCGGCCCATTCAGCTCTACAACTCATCCTGCGAAGAAATTCACTCCGCCCATCGCCCCCATTACATCACCCCTCTTGCAGTGGACCCTTGGGATCTTTACAACAGGGCTGTCCAAGTGGGGCGAGACGAGCAGACGCCTGTACCTGCCAGTGCTACGGTGGGGATGGCTGTAGCAGACACGGCTGTAGCTGATACAGTTGCAGCTGACATGGCTGTAGCTGATACAGTTGCAGCTGACATGGCTGTAGCTGATACAGTTGCAGCTGACATGGCTGTAGCTGATACAGTTGCAGCTGACACGGCTGAAGCAGAGACGGGTGCAGCAGAGAAGGGTGTAGAAGAGAGGTCTGTAGCAGAGAAGGCTGAATCAGAGAAGGCTGTAGCAGTGAAGGCTTTACCAGAGCAGGCTGTAGCAGTCAATGTTGCAGCTGACAGGGCTGTGGCAGACAATGCTGTAGCAGACACGGCAACAGCAGAGAGGGAGCAGCGGAAGCAGGCAGATCAGGAGCAGCAGCAGCAAAGCACAGGGCAGGAGGAGGCAGCTAGGGGGGAGCAGCAGCAGGGCAGAGAGAAGGACAGGGGGCGACAAACATCATATCTCCCTCGGGAGATATCGTACCTCCCATTGGAGCTACTGGTACCGGTGTTTCCGATGCAGCACGTGCTCTTTGCCTCGCTACTCCCCTCGCTGTTCTACCGGCTTGACTGCCTGCTCACTGCTCGGGATATCTGGCGGTTCATTGTGAGGCAGTATGGGTGTGAGCATCAGGGGACTTGTGAGGCAACTTGCAGGGCAAAGGGCAAGGGGAATCGCAAGAGGAAAGGCAAGGCGAATTGCGAGAGCTGCAGCACTGGTGGTGGGGAGAGGTGTGGCAGGTGTGGCAGCACTGGTGGTGGTGGGTACAGGAGGGAATCGCAGCCGCACGTGCTTCAAGAACCGCATGTTCCTGCTATTACTGTGAGTCACGCCTCTGCCTGCACTGCACTGCACTGCACTGCAGTGCAGTGTACCGCACTGAACCACACTGTACCGCACTGCAATTTACTACACCACACTGCACCACAGAGAGCGGCATGGGCACGTACGAGTCAGACGAGATTTATCCCTCCCTCCCTCCCTCCCTCCCTCCCTCCCTCCCTCCCTCCCTCCCTCCCTCCCTCCCTCCCTCCCTCCCTCCCTCCCTCCCTCCCTCCCTCCCTCCCTCCCTCCCTCCCTCCCTCCCTCCCTCCCTCCCTCCCTCCCTCCCTCCCTCCTCCCTCCCTCCCTCCCTCCCTCCCTCCCTCCCTCCCTCCCTCCCTCCCTCCCTCCCTCCCTCCCTCCCTCCCTCCCTCCCTCCCTCCCTCCCTCCCTCCCTCCCTCCCTCCCTCCCTCCCTCCCTCCCTCCCTCCCTCCCTCCCTCCCTCCCTCCCTCCCTCCCTCCCTCCCTCTCTCCCACCCTCGCTTCCTTCCCTGCACCCCTCAGCTCCTGCGTGCCCTGGGATGCCCCGGCCCTGCACCCTTGCTTCCTTCCCTGCACCTCTCAACTCAACCACCCCTTTCCACCCACCAACATCCCTCCCTCTCCCATTCCCCCTCTCAGCTCCTGCGCGCCCTGGGATGCCCCGGCGTCGGCACCTACGAGAATGACGAGATTCTCGGTGACAGCTGTGTGCAGCTCGCCACATCCTGCCACCTGTTCTCCACTCTGCTGCCACGTCAGCAGCAGGATAACGGGCGTGTGCGTGAGCATAAGCACAAGCATGGGCATGGGAACAAGAATGGGAGCAACGGCTCAGCATACGCTGAGAGTATTGCCTCGATGCAATCACATGCACCACACAGCCAGTCGTCCCTACCACCAGCCCCCAACAGCCAGTCGTCCCTGCCACCAGTCTCCAAGAGACGTCCCACTGGGCCATCATACGTTGACTTGAAACGGCACTGCGTGAAGCTGGTCTCAAACAAGCACCTGGCAGCACGGGCAGTTAAAGCCGGAGTGCCCGCCCTCGTTCGCTGCAAGCCCTTCACACCCACGGATTGGATCGGCCCCCTAGTCCCTCCCTCGCACGCTGTGCTGCTTCTGGCTGACTCCCTCTCTCACTCGCTCCTCCAACCACACTCCCCCTCACACTCTCGAGCTACCGCATCTTCCCAGAAACTTCCTCCTAGCCCCAAAGCCCTTCTGGACTCCGCCTTTGCCTCGCTGGCAGCGGCACAGCCAGCAGCCAAGTCAGCGAGCCGTTCAGCCAAAAAAAGGCTGGCTGACGTGGCAGAGGCCTTGGTGGGCGCCAGCTGGCGGTGCGGCGGCGCTGACATGGCGCTGCCGGTGCTGAGGTGGCTGGGCCTGCCTACGGAGGGCGTGGGGGAACTGTTGAGGGGAGAGACGGGGTGGAGGGGGAGAGAGGCGGAGGGGGTGGCAAAGAGAGGGGTGGTGGGAGTTGCAGCAAAGACAGATATGGCACTGGACGTGCCATCAGAGGGCGTGGGCGAGCTGCTGAGGGGAGAGATGGGAGCACGAGAATTGGAGCAAAGGGTGAGTGGCAGCAAGCACGCTTGGGAGCCAACTAGACAGCCGTTGGAGCTGCAACTTGCGCCGCCAGAGAAGCGGCCTAAGCTGCTTGAAGGGGAATGCGTGCAGCACCAGGATGGGCAGCAGGAGGAACAGCAGCAGCAGCAGCAGCAGACTTTGCCCAGCTTCCTAGAACCTTCCACCGCCAGAACGAACCCCAGGTGCCACGTGGCAACAGCTGGCTGGCTGCTGGAGCTTCAGAATGCGATGGGGTATCGATTCAGAAATGAGGGGATACTGAAAGTGGCGATTCGGGAGGAGGGGTTGAAGTGGCAGAGACGGTTTGTGTTTCTGGGGGAAGCTGTGCTGGACTTTCTTCTCATGCACCACATGGTGCAAGCAACATCTGTGACGGTCCATTCTCCTGCCGCCACGTCACCACATGCCACGTCATTGCACGCTGCCATGCCATCGCACGTGCCACGTCAGCGCACGCCACCCGGCCGTCCCCGCACCAGCTGACGAACCTGCGCATGGTTGTGAACAACATGAAGCGGTTTTGCCAGCTGGCGGTGTGCCGTGGGCTGCTGCGATTGGTGCGCAACATACGGCGGGCGGTGAAGGCTGCTGCTGCCGATGCAGCTGACTTGGCACATGTGGCTGCTTGGCAATCGGGAAAGGAGGAGGAAGGGAAGGAGAAGGAGAAGGATGGGGGGGAGGACGGGAAGGAGAAGGAGACGGATGGGGAGGAGTACGGGAAGGAGAAGGAGACGGATGGGGAGGAGTACGGGAAGGAGGAAGTGAATTTCAGTAGAGAAGGCATGGTTGGATCACAGAGGATGTTACAGCAGGCTGTAATCGAGAGAGGGGAGGACGTGGGGAGAGGGGAGGACGTGGGGAGAGGGGAGGACGTGGGGAGAGGGGAGGACGTGGGGAGAGGGGAGGACGTGGGGAGAGGGGAGGCCGTGGGGAGAGGGGAGGCCGTGGGAAGAGGGCACATGGGCAATGGTGATGACATTGATGATGAACAGAAGCCGTTCCGCAAGGTAACGCCGTGTAACCATATGAGCGAGCAGGTAATTATGTAACCCTACAGATGGTACTTACGTACTGTCTGTTTGCCTGTACCACTTACTTTCTATGCACATTGGTACAACCTTTGAATGCCTCGCCTTTCTTTCTTCTCAGGGGCTGCCCAATTCGTCTTGCGTCCCTTTTGCGTCCCTCTTGCGTCCCTTTTGCGTCCCTTTTGCGTCCCTTTTGCGTCCCTTTTGCGTCCCTCTTGCATCCCTTTTGCGTCGCTCTTGCCCAATCCCAATCCTTTTTGATGCACTGCAAAGATCTGAACGGCCAGGCATACCCACATACATACATACATACATACATACATACATACATACATACATACATACATACATACATACATACATACATACATACATACATACATACATACATACATACATACATACATACATACATACATACATACATACATACATACATACATACATACATACATACATACATACATACATACATACATACATACATACATACATACATACATACATACATACATACATACATACATACAAACAATCTCTTGCGTCTCGGCATTCTTGACGCGCTGCAAATCTTAAAACGGCTAGGCGTACCCACACACATACATGCATTCCTCTTGCCTTTTCAGTCGACTCTAATAAAGTCATGCCATTACCCACATACAGTCCTCTTCCTTCGCCATGCTGCAACACTGTTGACAATTCCCCTCCTCCCTCCCCTCCTTTCTTCCCTCCTCCCTCCCCTCTCTTCTTCCTATCTCTCTCCCCTCCTCACTTGCTCTCCTACCAGGAAGTTCCTGATCTTATAGAGGCCCTCATTGCAGCAGTCTTCCTCGACTCTACTCCTCCAAACACCCCTCGGACCGCACTCAACCCCCTTGCACATCTTCATCTCTCATGCCCTCTCACCCGCACGTGGCAAGTGGTTTCTTCGTGGCTCTCCCCCATCCCTCTGCTGCATCCCCTCTCCCTCCATCCCCCCTCCGCCCTGCTCCTCTTCTGCGGCGCCCTCGCCCTCCCCCCCCCTATTTACTTGCCGTGGGGGGAGAGGGGGGGGCGGGAGAGGGGGAAAGGGAAAACGGAGGGGGACAGGAACGGGGATGGTGCGTGGAAGGATGAGGAGGGTGGGGAAAGGGACGGCGGGATGGTGTGTGGGAGTGGTGTGAGAGAGAAAGGTGGGGAGCGGAAGGGAATGGAAAATGGGCTGTGTGAAAATCGCTTGCGGATGAGTAGAGGAGGAGGTGGAGGAGCAGAGGAGGGGGAGGTGGGGGTGGTTTTGGAAGTGGAGGTGAGAGGAGTGGTGCTGGGGGAGGGGTGGGGGGTGGATGACGTGGCAGCAACGGTGGAAGCACCAGCTAGCGTGCTGAGGAGGGCCAAGGTGAGTGTAAGAAAATGAATGAAAAGCACATGGGAAGTAGGAGGAGGGGGTGGTTTTGGAAGTGGAGGTGAGGGGAGTGGTGCTGGGGGAGGGGTGGGGGGTGGATGATGTTGCAGCAACAGTTGAAGCAGCTTCTGATGTGCTGAGAAGAGCCAAGGTGAGTATAATGAACGTATGTGATTGTACTGGTGTGATTGTAGTCATCGTGACTTTATATAAGCATTGGAAGCAGCTGTTGGAGATACGAGCTTGACTGTACCCGGAGGGAGAGGGGGCGATTTTTGAGTCGACTCAGAAATGGTCTCATCACGCGCACATGTGGTTCATGGGGCCTGGTTCATGGGGCCTGGTTCATGGGGCCTGGTTCATGCGGCCTGGTTCATGGGGCCTGGTTCATGGGGCCTGGTTCATGGGGCCTGGTTCATGGGGCCTGGTTCATGGGGCCTGGTTCATGGGGCCTGGTTCATGGGGCCTGGTTCATGGGGCCTGGTTCATGGGGCCTGGTTCATGGGGCCTGGTTCATGGGGCCTGGTTCATGCGGCCTGGTTCATGGGGCCTGGTTCATGCGGCCTGGTTCATGGGGCCTGGTTCATGGGGCCTGGTTCATGGGGCCTGGTTCATGGGGCCTGGTTCATGGGGCCTGGTTCATGGGGCCTGGTTCATGGGGCCTGGTTCATGGGGCCTGGTTCATGGGGCCTGGTTCATGCGGCCTGGTTCATGGGGCCTGGTTCATGGGGCCTGGTTCATGCGGCCTGGTTCATGGGGCCTGGTTCATGGGCCTGGTTCATGGGGCCTGGTTCATGCGGCCTGGTTCATGGGGCCTGGTTCATGGGGCCTGGTTCATGGGGCCTGGTTCATGGGGCCTGGTTCATGGGGCCTGGTTCATGGGGCCTGGTTCATGGGGCCTGGTTCATGGGGCCTGGTTCATGGGGCCTGGTTCATGGGGCCTGGTTCATGGGGCCTGGTTCATGGGGCCTGGTTCATGGGGCCTGGTTCATGGGGCCTGGTTCATGGGGCCTGGTTCATGGGGCCTGGTTCATGGGGCCTGGTTCATGGGGCCTGGTTCATGGGGCCTGGTTCATGGGGCCTGGTTCATGGGGCCTGGTTCATGGGGCCTGGTTCATGGGGCCTGGTTCATGGGGCCTGGTTCATGGGGCCTGGTTCATGGGCCTGGTTCATGGGGCCTGGTTCATGGGGCCTGGTTCATGGGGCCTGGTTCATGGGGCCTGGTTCATGGGGCCTGGTTCATGGGGCCTGGTTCATGGGGCCTGGTTCATGGGGCCTGGTTCATGGGGCCTGGTTCATGGGGCCTGGTTCATGGGGCCTGGTTCATGGGGCCTGGTTCATGGGCCTGGTTCATGGGGCCTGGTTCATGGGGCCTGGTTCATGGGGCCTGGTTCATGGGGCCTGGTTCATGGGGCCTGGTTCATGGGGCCTGGTTCATGGGGCCTGGTTCATGGGGCCTGGTTCATGGGGCCTGGTTCATGGGGCCTGGTTCATGGGGCCTGGTTCATGCGGCCTGGTTCATGGGGCCTGGTTCATGGGGCCTGGTTCATGGGGCCTGGTTCATGGGGCCTGGTTCATGGGGCCTGGTTCATGGGGCCTGGTTCATGGGGCCTGGTTCATGGGGCCTGGTTCATGGGGCCTGGTTCATGGGGCCTGGTTCATGGGGCCTGGTTCATGGGGCCTGGTTCATGGGGCCTGGTTCATGGGGCCTGGTTCATGGGGCCTGGTTCATGGGGCCTGGTTCATGGGGCCTGGTTCATGGGGCCTGGTTCATGGGGCCTGGTTCATGGGGCCTGGTTCATGGGGCCTGGTTCATGGGGCCTGGTTCATGGGGCCTGGTTCATGGGGCCTGGTTCATGGGGCCTGGTTCATGGGGCCTGGTTCATGGGGCCTGGTTCATGGGGCCTGGTTCATGGGGCCTGGTTCATGGGGCCTGGTTCATGGGGCCTGGTTCATGGGGCCTGGTTCATGGGGCCTGGTTCATGGGGCCTGGTTCATGGGGCCTGGTTCATGGGGCCTGGTTCATGGGGCCTGGTTCATGGGGCCTGGTTCATGGGGCCTGGTTCATGGGGCCTGGTTCATGGGGCCTGGTTCATGGGGCCTGGTTCATGGGGCCTGGTTCATGGGGCCTGGTTCATGGGGCCTGGTTCATGGGGCCTGGTTCATGGGGCCTGGTTCATGGGGCCTGGTTCATGGGGCCTGGTTCATGGGGCCTGGTTCATGGGGCCTGGTTCATGGGGCCTGGTTCATGGGGCCTGGTTCATGGGCCTGGTTCATGGGGCCTGGTTCATGGGGCCTGGTTCATGGGGCCTGGTTCATGGGGCCTGGTTCATGGGGCCTGGTTCATGGGGCCTGGTTCATGGGGCCTGGTTCATGGGGCCTGGTTCATGGGGCCTGGTTCATGGGGCCTGGTTCATGCGGCCTGGTTCATGGGGCCTGGTTCATGGGGCCTGGTTCATGCGGCCTGGTTCATGGGGCCTGGTTCATGGGGCCTGGTTCATGGGGCCTGGTTCATGGGGCCTGGTTCATGGGGCCTGGTTCATGGGGCCTGGTTCATGGGGCCTGGTTCATGGGGCCTGGTTCATGGGGCCTGGTTCATGGGGCCTGGTTCATGGGGCCTGGTTCATGGGGCCTGGTTCATGGGGCCTGGTTCATGGGGCCTGGTTCATGCGGCCTGGTTCATGGGGCCTGGTTCATGGGGCCTGGTTCATGCGGCCTGGTTCATGGGGCCTGGTTCATGGGGCCTGGTTCATGGGGCCTGGTTCATGCGGCCTGGTTCATGGGGCCTGGTTCATGGGGCCTGGTTCATGGGGCCTGGTTCATGGGGCCTGGTTCATGGGGCCTGGTTCATGGGGCCTGGTTCATGGGGCCTATGAGGCCCTTCAAACTAGCTGGTGCTCGCATGATCACCGCCTGCTTTCCACTCTCCCCTCTTCCCGCCACTCTCCCCCCAGACTGTGCAGGGCTTCCGGAAGCTGTACCAGGAGGCAGAGAAGGCACGGGCTGTGGGGCCTACGAGTGCTGCATGGGAGACCCAATCAGAGGAAGGCGATAAGGGAGTGGAGGAGGGAGGAAAGGAGGATGAAGCTGGGAAAGAGGCAGGAGGAGGAGAAGGTGTAGCAGGGATGGAGGGAATTGTGCCCGAGGGTTCTGTTAAGAATGGAGGGAAAAGTGAGTGTAATGGTGGGAAGTCGAAGGCAGGAGGAAAGAAGAGGAAGAGAGGCAAGTCAGGAATGGGGGAGGCGGCAGCAGATGCCAGGGCAGGAGCAAAGGCTGGAGGAAAGAAGAGGAAGCGAGGGAAGTCAGGAATGGGGGAGGCAGCAGCAGCTGCTGGAGCAGAGGAAGGGGCGGCAGCAGCAGCAGGAGCAGTGGAAGGGGTGGAAGAAGCAGCAGCAGAAGCAGAAGGAGCAGGAGCAGTAAAAAGGGAGATTTTGATAGGTTTGGCCGCTCTGGACGCCCTAGATGGGTTCCGAGGCTGTGTGCCAGGTCAGGCAGTTGTAACCACCCTGAATAACTTCTGCCAGGCGCGGCATTGGATGGTTGTATACCAGAGAGTATCTCCTACTTCAAGGAGAAAGTCTGCTGTGATTTGGAATGGATCCGCACAAGGTGGGCCCTTTGAGACGTCTCAAAAGTCTTCAAGGAGCAAGTCTGCTGTAGATTGGATGGGATCCGCCCAAGGTGGGTCTACTGTTGGGTGCGCCTCTGCTTCGCCTGCAGCACCTGCTGCTCCTGCTCCTGCTCCTGCTCCAGCTCCTGCTGCTGCTGATACTCCTGCTGCTGCTGCTGTTGCGCCTGCAGCGCCTTCTGCTGCTGCTGCTGCTGCTGCTGCTGCTGCTGCTGCTGCTGCTGCTGCTGCTGCTGCTGCTGCTGCTGCTGCTGCTGCTGCTGCTGCTGCTGCTGCTGCTGCTGCTGCTGCTGCTGCTGCTGCTCCTGCTGCGGCTGCTGCTGCTGCTGCTGCTCCTGCTTCTGCTGATGCTGTTGCTGCAGTTGCTGCTGCTGCTGCTGCTGCTCCTGCTGCTCCTGCTGTTGCTCCTGGTGCTGCTGTTGCTGCTGTTGCTGCTCCTGCTGCTCCTGCTGCTCCTGCTCCTGCTGCTCCTGCTCCTGCTGCTCCTGCTCCTGCTGCTGCTGCTGCTGCTGCTACTACTGCTGCTCCTGCTGCTACTACTGCTGCGGCTGCTACTGCTGCTGCGGCTGCTATTGCTGCTGCTGCTCCTGTTGCTGATGCTGCTGCTCCTGCTGCTGCTCCTGCTGCTGCTGCTGCTGGTGTTGGTGGGGATGTGCCAGTGAATGCTGGATCTAGCAATTGTGGTGTAATCAACGGTGGTGATTCAAGCGCTGGTTACTCTACCAGTGCTACTTGTGGTGGTGGCTGGGGGGCGGCTGGTGGTGGTTGGGAGGCGGCTGGTGGTGGTTGGGAGGCGGCTGGTGGTGGCTGGGAGGCGGCTGGTGGTGGCTGGGGAGCGGCTGGTGGTGGTTGGGAGGCGGCTGGTGGTGGTTGGGAGGCGGCTGGTGGTGGTTGGGAGGCGGCTGGTGGTGGTTGGGAGGCGGCTGGTGGTGGTTGGGAGGCGGCTGGTGGTGGCTGGGAGGCGGCTGGTGGTGGTTGGGAGGCGGCTGGTGGTGGCTGGGAGGCGGCTGGTGGTGGTTGGGAGGCGGCTGGTGGTTGTTGGGAGGCGGCTGGTGGTGGCTGGGAGGCGGCTGGTGGTGGTTGGGAGGCGGCTGGTGGTGGCTGGGAGGCGGCTGGTGGTGGTTGGGAGGCGGCTGGTGGTGGTTGGGAGGCGGCTGGTGGTGGTTGGGAGGCGGCTGGTGGTGGCTGGGAGGCGGCTGGTGGTGGTTGGGAGGCGGCTGGTGGTTGTTGGGAGGCGGCTGGTGGTGGCTGGGAGGCGGCTGGTGGTGGTTGGGAGGCGGCTGGTGGTGGCTGGGAGGCGGCTGGTGGTGGTTGGGAGGCGGCTGGTGGTGGTTGGGAGGCGGCTGGTGGTGGTTGGGAGGCGGCTGGTGGTGCCAGCTCTGAACCTGCTAGTGGCAACACTGGTGCTCCCAGGTAAGTACCGTAAATGCCCATTACATTCATTAGATAAGCCACCATGCAGTAAAATCAATGCTGTTTCAATTATTAATACCATCTCTTTTATTTCCAGGTTTCTCGGTGACGGCTATTGCCTGGATTGTGTGGTAAAAGCAGCTGACGGATCAACGGTAGTACGGATTGAAGGTAAAGCAATGCCCTCAAAAAGGGCGGCAAAACAATGGACAGCAGCCGCAGTGTTGCAAGCCCTAGCCGCCAAAGAGTGGCCCGCCTGTGCCAAGTAGCTTTTGTTTATATCAGTTCGTGATGGTATATAAGCTGGGGATGGGGATTGGACTTACTCAGAACTGTAAGGTGGCAAATAAAACGGCATGGACAGTCTTACTGTATAATGGCGCATGCTGAAATGTATTTCCATGCACATTGTGATGGGGGAAGTGAGGGTTGAGATTGACGAAGAAGGGAAAGAAAAGCAAAAGGGGGGTCTTTTGAGACATCTCAAACGTACTGCATACCAACCACCCGCACAGCCTCTCACTCGTCCCCACCAGCACAGCCCTGGCCCCACCAGCACAGCCCTGGCCCCACCAGCATCTCACCTCCACCAGCATCTCACCTCCACCAGCATCTCACCTCCACCAGCATCTCACCTACACTAGCATCTCACCTCCACCAGCAGCGTGCGGTGGCCGCGGTTTCTCCTCTGAGCCCCGAACGACTTGTCGCCATTCCACACCTCCGTGCGCTCAGCCAGAGGCACGACCCACCGCAGGATATCCCCCACCACGCCCTTGAGGTCCCGGGCTATCGCCCCGTCGATCTGCCGCTTGGACCGCTGCTTCAGCCGCTTGGCCAGGCGCCGACGCACCGTGGACGGCAGTATGGAGTAGAGCTCTCTTCTGGTGGGTGGAGGGGGAGCGGGAGGGAGAGAGGGCAGGGAGAGTATGAGGGCAGGGAGAGTTTGAGGGCAGGGAGAGTTTGAGGGCAGGGAGAGTGTGAGGCACGGCCCACTTCAGAATGTCCCCCACCACGCCCTTGAGGTCCCGGGCTATCCCCCCGTCGATCTGCCGCTTGGACCGCTGCTTCAGCCGCTTGGCCAGGCGCCGACGCACGGTGGACGGGAGGATGGAATAGAGCTCCCTCCTGGTGGGTGGAGGGGGAGGGGAAGGGGGTGTAAGGGTGGGGCATCTTGAGGCGTCTCAAAGGTCTGCTCTGCTTCAGACGCTTGGCCTGGCGCCGATGCACAGTGAATGGGAGTGAGGGAAAAGAGGGTGTGAGGGTGGGGGTGAGGAGTGAGGGAGTGAGGAGAATGCGAGGGTGGGGGGGATGAGATACAGGGAGAAAACCAGGAAAAGTAAAGCGGGATAGGTAAATATTTATCAAACACCCTCTTATGTGAGAAAGGTCCCCGATTTCTTATTTCTTTCTTTCTTTCTTCTTTTCTCTTCTTGCAAACATAAAGGACCCTCACCGCTGCTCTTTAAAAGGCTGGCTGATGGGGCTCATCTCCCTCATCTGCTCCACCCCCAACAGCACGCGCGCATACAACGAAGGCAGCCCCGCTGCCCCAATCCCAACCACCCACTCGCATCACCAAACCAGCAACACAACAAATACCAGAGACTCACCGCTGCTCCTTGAAAGGCTGGCTGATGGGGCTCATCTCTCGCATCTGCTCCACCCCCAGCAGCACTCGCGCATAAACCGACGGCAGCCCCGCTGCTCCCAGCGTCGCCTTCAGCTCCTCCTGCTTGGGGGGGGCTGGCCGGCCGAAGACCGACCGGTACTGCTGCCACAACACCCCAATCGACACGGCCAACGTCTGTGAAGGGGGGAACGAGGGGTGAGAGGAGTGGGAGGGAGAGAGAGAGGGGGCTCATCACTCTCCTCAGCCCGCCCTGCTTGGGAGGAGCTGGCCGGCCGAAGACCAGCCGGTACTGCTGCCACAAACTTTAACTGAAACTGACAACATCTGTAAGGGGAAGGGGGGGCGAGGAGAGTGGGGAGAGGGGGGAGATTGGCTGGCCGGCCGAAGACAGACCGGTACTGCTGCCACAACACCCTCAGTAACACTGCCAGGCGCTGTGGGGGGAAGGGGGTGGGAAGGGAGAGTGACGGAGGGGAGACGATGGATTGGAGGGCAAAACGGACAAACAGAAACAAGAGTGATTGAAGGGAGCAGGCGAAAGGAGTGTGTCTGCCAGAGCAGACAAACTCCGTAAAACTGCCGTCACCGCAGTGAACCAGTCAGCACCTCATTAAACTCACCAGCACCGGTCGTTCGAGTGGGTGGTTCCAAAGGGATGCTCGCTGCAGCTGATGCACCACTTGCATCTGATGGGGAGGATGGTGAGAGAGAGGGGAGAACGGAGAGCGGGAAGAGAGGAGAGAGGGGATAAGGAATGAAGGCGAGAAAGACTTTTGAGTCGACTCAAAAGTCACCTTGAGAGGAGAGAGGGGATAAGGAATGAAGGCGAGAAAGGGAGAGTGGGGAGAGGAAGTGGGGTTTGAAGTCAGCATGTGGGTGGCTGCAACCACAAAGAGTCTTGAGACAGGCAGTGTGGGGCTCTTGGGTTGACAGGCAGGACGGTGGCTTTTGAGTCGACTCAAAAGTCACCTCGTTGGCTTGACATGCAGGATGGTGATGAGAAGTCGAACATCCGAAACCCAAATAACATCTCGAGTCGAACTTTCTCCCGTCCCCATCTCCATCCCACCTGTTCGATCACAACCGTCAACCGTTCATCCACCGCACCCCACCCACTATTTTCTCCTCCCACCACCATCCCACTTGCTCCAGCACAGCCCCCCACCGCACTCCACCCATTGTTCACTCCTCCCAACCCAACCCCACCTGTTCCATCACGGCGGCCTGTGGCTTCCCCTTGGGCCGACGCGTCTTAGGGTTCTGCACCTCGGGATCTCCTGCTGAGCTGGTGGGCGGAGGGTAGGGGGGAGGGGGAGGGGGGAGCAGATGCAGAAGGCGAGGGGGGAGACAAGGGGAGGGCGGAGGGAGGGGGAGGGGGGAGCAGATGGGGAAAGCGAGGGGGGAGACAAGGGGAGGGCGGAGGGGAGGGGGAGGGGGGAGCAGATGGGGGGAAACAAACAGTGAGTGGGTGCGGCCTGCGGCTTTCCCTTGGCCAGACAGGTCCTGGGGTTCTGCAGTTCGGGGTCTCCTGAGGAGCTGGTGGGCGGAGGGGAGGGGAGGGGGAGGGGGAGGGGGAGGGGGGAGGGGGAGGGGGGAGGGGAAGGGGCACGTTTAGCTGGGGCCCTGCAGGCGCGATGTTTGATGCTTGCGTCGCTCTTAACGAATTTCAAAAGCCTCACCTGTTGATGACGTCATCCAGTGCCAGCATTGCGTTGTGCAGCGCTCCCATTGTCTCCAGCTGTTCCCTCAGAAAACTGCCAGGAAAAGAAGGGGCACAAATTAAGGCCAGTCTGAAAAAAAAAAAGAAAAGAAAAAAAAAAGAGCAAACAAAAAATACGGCAACGACGCGTGCAACGACAAGCAAACAACGACAAAGAATATGTTCGTCCGCCTCGCCCTCGCTAAAGCTATCTTCTCTCTTCCATGCGCGGCTGTACCCCCGCAGCCGCTTCAGCACCTCCCCGCTCCGCGCGCCCCCGCACCTGCGCGCCAGCACCCCCACGGCGGCGGTCAGCGCGGTGAGGTCGGAGGCATACTCCGCGCCCGCCAGGCGCCAGCGGAGGGAATAGTCCCCCACGCACAGGCGCTTCAGCCCCTCGGTCTGGGGGGAGGGGGCGGGGAAGAGGGGGAGAGAAAAGGGTGCGCGCGGTGAGGTCGGAAGCATACTCCGCGCCCGCCAGGCGCCAGCGGAGGGAATAGTCCCCCACGCCCAGACGCTTCAGCCTCTCGGTCTGAGGGGAGGGGGAGAGTGGGGTTGGGGAACGGGAGCGCGCGTGAGGTCGGAGGCCTGTTTTGCGCCCGCCAGGCGCTTCAGCCCTTCGGTCTGCTTGCGGGGAGAGAGGTGTTTGGGGAAGGGGGAGGGAGGTCGGAGGCATACTCCGCGCGCACCAGGCGGGAAAAAAGAGGAAAGCGGGGAAAGAGAGGTGGGAGGGGAGGGGAGAGAGAGAGAGAGAGAGAGAGAGAGAGAGAGAGAGAGAGAGAGAGAGAGAGAGAGAGAGAGAGAGAGGAGCGGAGGAGGACGGAAGGGGGGTGCTGTTTGAGTCGACTGTGGGAGAACACTGCGCGTCTTCAATGTAGCTGCTTTTCTAAGCGAAAAATGTTCCGCGAGTCGAGCTGCCTCCAAAGTTCGCGCGCGCCCCGTGAACTCGCGACCTCGAGGGAGAAAGCGCCCGTGCGTGCAGGTCGTGGCCGGCGGAGAGGCCGGCGCGGGGCAGTGCGCCTCGCGGGAACTCATTTTCGCCAATCAAAGGTGGTGGCCAGGGGGGCAGGCGGCGGGGAGACAGTGTTTGCGCCTGGCGACTCTTGCGCCGACTACGGCGCGCAATGAGCTTCTGAAACGTCTGGAATTAGAAAGAAAAGGCAACCAACCAAAACAGACAAACAGAACCGGCTCACCTGCAGCTGCTTTTCCAAGCCCGCTATATTCCGCGCGTCGAGCTGGCGCCATAGATCAAGCGCTTTCCGCATGAGCGACGCGACCTCGAAGGAGAGAACGCCCATGGGGAGGTCGTGGCCGGGCGGCAGGCGCGGCGCGGGGGCCGCCGCGGCTGACGGGAACTCGAGATCGACCAGCGCGTCCACCACGCTCGTCTGGTTCCCCATCGCTCGCGCGCTGCTGCTCGAACTCCCGCGCCTATCTCGCTCTCGCTCCTCTCGACGATACGTTCGTGTAGCGCAAGGCTCACGTCGTGATGTTTGCTACAGCTGATATGCCACGGTGGTTGCTCCAACGTCACGCCACGGTGTTCGCTACACAAGGCTTGTCGGACAAGTTTGCTGTCCTTGTTGCGAATTAAGCCGTCCGACAGGCTAGGTTGGGTGTTAACGCCGGTTCAAGTAGGCTCAGACGGACAGACTGCTTGTTACTGGCGTTCGGGCTAACTGGAAAGGTCTGTACGGAACGAATAATGTAAAATATAACTAGCGATCTCTAGCGCGGAAATGTATAATGCAGCAGTCACTAGGAAAACAGAATGTATTTTCCCGCCAAAGCTGCCGCGCAGTCCGCAGCTGTATAACTGAATCGGTATCACAGAAACTAAGTATGCAAGAAAATCTGGCGTAAGTGGTGACGAGTCCTCGGAGAGGACGTCAGGCATGTAGACTGGGAAGTAAAGATGTGCGGTACGGTAATCTCAAGGTCCCTGAGCGGAGCGGAGGAGATGACACATCAGAAGAAATAGACAGAAAGAAAAGGTAGGTTTTCCCTGAAGTGTAGCGGTTGAGCGGATCCACATCTTTCTTGGGTGTACTGTTCCTGTCTAGTTTCCGTACCGTAGGTCAGGTCGGTCGGTTGTTCTGCTGTGGTGTTGCGCACGTGTTCACTGATGGTTGATGGGTGCTTTGTTTTTGCTGCTGCCCATGCCCGGAAACTTCCCTGCTCCATCGAGGCTGTACAGTGTGCTGCCCCGTCAAGGCAGATACTGTACCAGTTCCCGCCGATCTGACCAAGCTGCCCGTCTCCGTTTTTCCCGTCTCCCTGTCAGTTCCATGGCAGATGCTGGTAGGCATTGCTGCTGCTGAGTCATCCATGACGTGTACTTTACAAAAGTTCAGAAATCCCAAGACGGGCAGATTCGCCAGACGTTTGACTTCAGGTAAGGACGTGGGCCCAATCGAGTTTGATCGCCTCGATCACACGCGATCAACAATTCTAGGAAGTCTGGAAGCCAATTTCATGCAATCGGGGGCAAACGGTTGATTGCGATCAACTGATCGCCCCAACTCAATCAGACCCGATTTTCACCCCGATCAAAGTCGATTTTTGTCGATCACAGGCGATCACCTGATTGCATGTGATCGGGGCCCACAGCGACACTTGCGAGCAGTTACACTGTTGCACTTACAGGGAAATGAAGATGTTCGCCAGGTGAAGTGTGGTCGCCAATCTCGCTAAAATAGGGACGAAAATGCGAGGTAAATGCACTGCGCTTGCTCAGCAGGCGCTGCAAATTTTCTTCAAAAAATAGCGGCTCGGGCATTGCGATCACATGCAACCCGATCAGATCCGACCCGATCAGATCATTCATGATCAAACTCGACTGGGCCCACGTCCTAAACTGTCACGTGGATTTGCCAGCCAATCAATCATTCTATGACGAATAATTGGATTGCGACAAGAGCATCTGCGAAAGAACCGATATTCCTAATTCATGAATCCGAGTAACACGTGTTACACTCTGTCCACACTTACACGCAATAGTAGTAATTGGTTATTATTCGTCTGCCTTTGCCGACTATCGGTGCCGAGTTTCGTGTTTTGGTTTCGCAATCATCCACATCCCACGTGTCCTTATGTGAACTAACCTTTCTCTGCGATTAGAGTATCGAGCCGTACTTTACCTCCAACTTGAACTGACATGTTCTCTACTCAGATGAACATGTCGCAAGTCACCCCCGTGCCGTATCGCACCGCGGCAATTGCCCCAGTTGCGATCCCCTGCGACCCAGGCGATTGGCGCGGGCCGCATCATGCGAACCGATCCGCCGAATCGCAGGCGAGGAACTCGCTATCGTGCGATTGGATGTTCAGATCCGCCCCAACCGCGACCGTCGCAGCAGCAGGAGGGCCACTGAGCCGCCGCGCTGCGTACTATAACCCATGCGCAACAGTCCTTCCCACACAGGTTCATTTCACGCGATTCCTCCGAACCCGAAGCGCGCTAAATTCTCCTAGAAACTTGCCCTCCTTTCACCGCCTAGCCGTTTTCGCCGCTAGCGGTACAAGCCAAGCCTCGGGCGGATCTGAGCCGTCAGTATCGGCTCAGATCCGTGGGATCGGGGAAGTGGAGTTCGGCGGGAAGCTTGGCGGAAAGTTCCTACAGGATGACGTGGGGCCGAACCAGGTGGTTCTCGAGGCGCAGGCGCGCGTGTGCACTGGACCCACGCAGACCCGGCCGCTGGGAGAAGAGGAGATGCGGCGCGTGTTGGAGCAGATCTTGCTTTCAGGTGTGCCCTCAAGTGTTCTGTCAGGTGCGCCTTCAGGTGTTCTGTCAGGTGCGCCTTCAGGTGTTCTGTCAGGTATGTCCCAGGTGTTCTTTCAGGTGAGCCCCAAGTAACCCGTCAGGTGTTCCGTCAGGCATGACATTACCCTCCAACTGCCTTTCCCTAATCATCTACTCTCGCCTCTCTCATATTCTTCCCCACTCAGCCAAGGGAGAATTGCCTCAGTGAACTGAATCGTGCAACAACCTTAACCCCTGTCCCCTGGCCCCTGTCCCCTGTCCCGTGCCCCTTGTTCCCTGTCCCCTGTCTCCTGCCCCTGCCCCCTGCCCCCTCTCCCCTCCCCCTCCTCGCTCCCCCTTGTCCCTTGTCCCTTCCCACCTGCCCCTTGCCTCCTCCCCTCTTTCTCCCTTGTCCTTCGTCCCCTGCCCCATACACCAGCAAAAGACGAACTTCTTTCATCAGAGCGAGTGTCACGCGTGCATATGGGGGTGGTCTTTGCGGGCATGACAGTGCGAGCCAATGCTTCCCCCCTCCTCGCCCTTTATCCTTCTGTTCTTTGCCCTGGAACCCTCTTTGCCTGCCCTGCCAGCAAAGGCCGAGCTCCCCCCATCAGAGTTAGTCTCACGCGCTCAGATGGGGGCGGTCTTTGCGGGCATGATCGTGCGAGCCAACTGCTTCCCTCCTGCCACGCAGTGGAGTGACAAACACAACAACCCTTCACTCTTCCGCGCCCCCCTGCCCCCCTGACCCCTCCCTCTTGGCCCCTGCCCCCTGCCCCGTGCCTCCTGCCCCGTGCCTCCGTGCCCCCTGCCCCGTACACCAGCCAAAGAGGAACTGCCTCCCTCTGAGCGAGTGTCACGGGCGCAGATGGGCGCCTTTTTCGCGGGCATGACAGTGCGAGCCAACTGCTTCCCACCTCCCACGCAGTGGAGCGAGGGGGAGAGGAGGGCGCTGGTTGACATGTGGCCCGCCCTCAAATACCACCTCCCCCGGGACGTGCTCTTCCTTGCCGACCCTCAGGTGGGTGCTGGGTGAGGTGAAGGGACCCGATACAGTCTCTTGCTCAGGGTTCCATTAAGATATATAAATAAATATATATATATATGTGTATATATATATATCGCCTGTGGGTCCCACGTCCCCCCCACCCCGCATGGGTCGGAGCAGTAGGCTCAGGTGGTGCTGTGGCGCGTGAGGTGTGGTGGGATGCGGTGAGATGCGGTGGGATGCGGTGGGATGCGGTGGGAGCCACATGTCTCGTGCCTCTCGAGTGTGTCTCAATCTCGATACTCTCCCCTGTTCAATACACCTCCCCACCCCCTCAGGTGGTGGGGTGGGGTGCGACTCGCGAGCCACATACCGACCTTGTGCTGCTTCTGTGTCCCTCCATTGCATCCCCCCAGGGTTCCATTTTCAACGATGCTCTCCCTGTGGGCCCCACGTTCAACGGGCATGGGTCGGAGCAGGAGGCGCAGGTGGTCGGAGATCTCAGGGATATTCTGTTCGGCGTGCACCTTGGCTTTCAGGTGAGAATTCAGGTGGAATCTCAGGTGAGGTATCAGGTGAGGTTTCAGGTGAGATCTCAGGCGATATCTCAGGTGAGGAATCAGGTGAGATTTCAGGTGAGGTTTCAGGTGAGGTCGTCTGGCCTGCGTGTGGAGCAACATTACGCATTCACTTTCTCCTTCTCCACCACAAGCGCACTCACCCATGCTGCTGACATGGACACGGATTTCAAGATTGTTTTGCGTTCTTGCTGGCTACTTTCAGTAAGCGTTACTCTTCTTTTGTGTGGTTTTCTGTGCCCCCCAACCTCCCCAAACCCCTCCTGTCCAGGAGACCATGTCTCTGCTGCAAAACCTGCTGCCCATGAGAGGCGGTGCGGCTGCAAGGGGCGGGGCGGGGGAGGGAAGGACGTGGGAAGCGTTTGAGACAGCTCAAAACCGCTGAGATCTGCAGCAGCAACATGGTCCTGTGTGCTCTCCTTTGCCACCCCCAACCCCACCCCTTCCAGGAAACCATGTCGCTGCTGCAGAACCTGCTGCCCATGAGGGGCGGAAGTGCGGAGGAGGGAGTGGGGGGGGTGAGCGATGCTCTGGTGGCGGCATATCTGATCGCCGTGCGCATGAACCGAGAGACTGACCGCGAGCTCAAGGCGTTTTGCTTGGCGTTCGACCAGGTATGTATGGGTATGATGCTCGGAGGGAGTGAGCGATGCACTGGTGGCGGCATATCTGATCGCCGTGCGCATGAACCGAGAGACTGACCGCGAGCTCAAGGCATTCTGCCTGGCGTTCGATCAGGTATGGCGCGATGCATTCTCGTGCCTGGGGTACAAGTGCGGAGGAGGGAGTGGGGGCGGGTGAGTGATGCTCTGGTGCCGGCATATCTGATCGCCGTGCGCATGAACCGAGAGACCAACAGAGAGCTAAAGGCCTTCTGCCTGGCGTTTGATCAGGTAGGGTGGTGTAGTGGGAGGAGTGCCCAGTGCCATGCCTTTTGCTAGGTCTTTGATGTGGGGGTAGGGGTTGACTTGGAGGGAGTGAGCGATGCACTGGCGGGGTGCAAGGAGGGGAGCCATGCCTTTTGCTTGGTATCTGATCCCTCCCTCCCACTCTCCCACCCACCCGCCATCTAACTCCCTCCACTCGCCTCCC